TACAGGTCCTCCCTAACTGTAGAGTGTCAGCCACCCATCGCACCGCCGTACACATCTGGAAGCCTGGAAAGGCACACATTCGAGAGCTGCACAGCCAGCCTCTCCGTGTAGAGCAGATGATGTGGACCTTTTGACAAACAAATGGGGGAGGGGGAAAGAGCCCTCCCCCTAAAATAATGACGTTGTAAGTACTGAGGAATCACTGCCTAGTGTCTCCCACTGGGATCTAGGATTGAGATTTCAGCTTCACTCGGTACCTTTCTCTTGTGAAACTGTCCTGAAGGAAAACCAGTAGGGGGCGGCCATTGAGGTGGAGCCCCAGATTACAACTCTAGTCCCAAATGGGTCTATTGATTTGCATGAGACTCCTCCCATCTCTCCCACCCAGACTGGAGAGAAAGTCACTACTTCGGGCCTCCAAGAAGGTGGTACTCAGTGGTTGTTCTAGGAATCCCTGGGTAAAACTATGCAAAGTCTGGGGCAAATAATGTTGCCAAAGAGTCCTTTCTGGTTTGGGTGAGGAAAAGGTATAACAGGAGAGAAAGCTCGCCGCCGGCCGAGGAGGTGAATGGCTCCCATGACCAAATCGGAGCTGTAAGGTGGAGTTACCTGGTGTCCCTCACCCCAGTGCTAATGTCTTAAAGAAATATAAAGAATCCTCTCTTGAGTTCCTTCACCACCCTCCCCTCCCCCCCCCTTGGTGATGGACTGCAGGCATCAGATTTTCATCCAAGTTCTATTAAGTGAAACATAGGTTGCAGGGCACCCTTTGATTGAAACAGTTTAAATTTTAATTGTGTTTTTAATTTGACATATAGTTGCAGAAAGGAATGACACTCCGTCGCCAAGGGGCGGTCGATTTTCTTAATTTCTCCCAGAGGAATTGATGAGTCTATCAGGCTACTAGATTGGAAACCCATTAAAGCTCTCTGGTTAGGCTTCTAATTGGAACTTGATGGATGTGGGAGGAGGGGTGTCAGGACTAGGCTATGCTGATCCAATCTTCATGACTTTCTGTTTTCCAATAAATTACACAATTCATTTTCCAGCCACAGATTACATAAATTGTACACCTCTGGGGCTCTCTTTTTCAAGTTGGGAGCCCTTTTCCCCAAAAGCCTATTGTGAGGTGTCATTTGCACCGAAGAACGAACAGCAGAGGCCCTTGAATGAAAATCGAAACATAATCAACGTTTATACTTAGAAAATTTATTGAGATCATTTTCTCTGGTATTTCCTTATTTTAAAGTTTGGACGCGCCATATATCATAATCCACTCGTGGGAAAGGGCGGGGGGGGGGGAGACTGTGTTTAATATTTATCGAAGCTTGATTCCGAGATCAAACTTGTTTATGACTTCATCTGTCATCTCGGAGGGAGCCTTCTTCCACTATTACCAAGGCTCAGCCAGCCTATTTGCCCACTGCCGCAGAGCAGAGAGGATCAATTTTTATTAGGCTCCTCCGTAAGTTTGCTCTGGGCCGCTTTAACATTGAGCAGCCACATAATCTCAGGGCCTAAACTTCAAGCGTTCTTTCGGCCTGGGAAAGTTTATCATTCCTCGGGAACCGGGTTTACGCCTTATTCCTATGGGGAGGTGAGGAAGGCCCCTGGAGCTTCTGAAGAGCAACTCCCTAAGGTGTCCACTAAACAGAGAAACTGGGAGGGAGGGGTGAACTACCTGGAGACTCAAAGAGTGGAGCTGGGTGTGCATGGGGAGCGGGGTGATAGATCGAAGCATTGCTCTCTCTACTTGGTTGAGAGACCCAGAGCTAAAGGTTCCAGGGAGTGGGTTTCGTAGCAGTGTGGGACTCAGAAGCTTCTGGCCTTTATGCATCTGGGGAAGCCTAAGACACCCCTAGAAGCCTGAAGGAAGTGGTGGGATGTTTCTATTGTAGTGTTTCCGGTTCCTCTCTGTGACTGAGTCCTACTTGAGACCAGGTAGTGGAATGGAAGGTCTTGAAGTCCCTTGTGCCCACCACCCCCATTTACTTAACTAGTTCAGTGTATATTCTCTGTGTGCCCTCTCTCTCTCTCTCTCTCTCTCTCTCTCTCTCTCTCTCTCTCTCTCTCTCTGTGTGTGTGTGTGTGTGTGTGTGTGTGAGAGAGAGAGAGAGAGAGAGAGAGAGAGAGAGAGAGAGAGAGAGAGAGAGATTTGTGTGGGTGAACAAATGTTTGGTTAAGTGTATACATGTGACTTAAAAGCTGGTCTGAGCTGAGCTTGGAGAGAGAGACCCTCTGTGGATAACACTCTCGGTTAGACTAGTGGAAGGGGGCAGGCCAGATGGTTGTTTCCTCTGACTTTCCAAATCAGCTTCAAAGAAGTTTGGTTGTGAGATTTCAGAGTTTTCTCGTTTAGAGGTCTTGGACTTGCCTCCCAGGTAATGTGCCCTGTTGGTCTTTGCTCTGCGACCCACCTTCTATGGTCCCTTCCATAAAAGATGTCATCTCTTCCAGTACTTGACCCCATACCTCCTCGGGCCCTCGCCTGGCCCTCTGGATATTGCTTCTTTCCTTCGGCTCTTTCTAGGAGCTGCTCGCCAGGGCCTGCTTCTCTCCTTGACCCTCTTCCAAGAGCACAGTGCTGGCAATGACACAACCGTGAGCAGCCGTCCTGTTCCCACTAGCTGGCTTAGATTCTCATTTCCCAGAGCCTCAGTTTCCACGTCTGTACAATGGCGGCAAAGATCTGAGTCACATTTGCTGTGAAGATGAAAATGAAGTCCCATGACCGGTTGCCAACACGTTCGTAGTACCAGATACTGTCTAGCTAGAAAGGTTCGACTAACTCTCTAGCTCCTCCACTTTGCGATTTTCCCCCCATTCCTGTAGCTGGCTCTGACATTCAAGTTGGCCATACAGTCCTCTTGTAGTATTGATTTGGCTCTAGACTCGACGGCATCGCCCAGACGAGCAGAAGAGCATGCTTTTGAGAAGCCGGGGGTTAGTGAATGAGTTGGACAGTTCTTTCTGAAATCTCCCTCTCTACCTCCGCGGGAGCGCGCTCGACCCAATGTGATGAGGACCGGGAGCTTGTGCCACGGGCCGCTCAGAGCAGGACGCACAAATTGTATTTCAGCGCCGGGTCCTTCCGGGTTAATGAGCTGACACCATGATTAAAGCTGACCATTTGTAATGTGTCTCGACCCCGCCGCAGAGCCCTGAAGAGGTTAATGCGGTAACGGAGGCTGGCACCTGCCCCTCGCCAGCCTCCCGGGCCTGGGTGCACAGCCTCCCAGCCCTCCGCTCCCTCCCCTGCCCCTGTCCCGGCTGCGCCACCGACCCCTAATCAATTAGCCCATTAACGAGCCCTTTGAGGAGTTAAGTAGGGAGAGTTCTGCCACGGGCAGGGCCGCAGTCGGTAACTCACCGAGGCTAATGATATTATAAGCGCTTTACTCAATAACCCGGGAGCGGTGCAGGCGAGGAACTGCACCGTCACGGTGCAGTCTGGACATTTGTGGGCACCGATTCTATAGTCTCTCTTCACTGGTGTGTCTAAGGAACAGGGTTCCCTGGACGTCAAGGCTGCAGCCATAGAGGGTGGGTTTGGCTGGGCGTCTTGGGCCTCGCATCTTTCCTTAAAGCGTGTGTAGATAACTGTTACTCAAAACAAATCCTTCAGCTTGCGCTGGGATGATTCTAGGTCAGGTAACAGGTGCTGTAGGGATTAAACAAGCAAGAGCCTGGGCTCAGAGGGAGGTCACAAGAAGACAGGAGAGAACCAAGTTTTTATTGAGTTTCACTTTGACCTCTGAAAGGAAAGTAAGACATCCAATGATTTTAGGAATGGGGAAAATGAGTCTTGGACCATCTCCATATCTTGCTCAAAGACATCCTGCTCATGTTTGACAGGATTCTAAACCGTCCCCGTCCCCAGAGCTACCTACTTCTCTTCCTCACAGAAGCAATGTAGCCGTCAAAATTAACCAACAAAAATATAAAAGAGTTTAGTTGTGGCATGGGAAGGCAAACTGTGTGGTGTTCGGTCAAGGTTTCGGAAGTAACTATCCTATATTCTGAGGGAGTATAGGTTTCCGCCGCTTTTCCACCTCTAGCTGACACAACTCCACAAGGAGAAACAGGGCGGGCGACACTAAGGAGTTTGCCGGAGGACAGAGATACTTCTCCTGGGACAAGACTTGTTCAAATTAGCACAATGTAAATGGTGGTACTGGAATGTGAACTGGGACCTCGGGAGATCTAGAGCTGGCTACTCCCTTGCCAGAATTCTGTGGCCTCTTTAGCCAGTGAGGTCTAAAGATGGAGAGCTGTAGTTCTTTGCTCTCAGAGAAGGGCATCTCTACGAGGCCCGTACTGTTAAGTTCCCCTATCCCAACGTGGCAGGAGACCCACAGCTCTTTGCCTGTTCCCCCTAGGCTGGAAGAGATTGAGGGCTCGGGAGGTTGGCTGCAGCTTAGAGTGGAGCATCTTGGATCCGAGAGAGCCCCATCATCTTGAAGTCGGGCGCCGTCCCTGCCTCTGGAGAGACAGGGGTCCGAGTCAGGGTGAAATCGGGAATCCAGGCTGCAATCTAAGCTGCTTTCGGTCCCATACGCCCCAGGCTGGACAGAGCCAAAGAGAATCCGGTACTAGGTGTGCTCCGGGCGCTCCCCAGTGCTGCGTGCTCGGCCCCAGCTTTTTAAAAAATTCCGGGGCCGCTCGGCGGCGCTGCGATTGGCCGCGGTCGGGTAACCTCTATGCAAATGAGGCCGCGCAGCCTCCGCGTCGCCCGAGACCCGTGGAGTTGGCAGGCGAGGAAGGGACTTAGGCACCGGGGCTGGGCGGGCTCACCCAGAGCCGGGCCGGCAGGGACCCGCGCGCAGCGGTCCGGTGCCTGCGCGTCCTGGCTCTGAAGGGGGACTCCTCGCCAGCCTCGTAGCCCCCTCCCCTCGCCTTTCCTCCTGCCCCTCCCCCTCGCCTGCCTGCCCGCACCACCTTCCACCCAGACCCGCTCTAAAGGGAGTTCTTGGTTTCCTCCGATTTCTTATGAACCCAGGATGGGCAGCAAGGAAGATGTGGGGAAGGGATGTCCGGCGGCCGGTGGCGTCTCCAGCTTCACCATCCAGTCCATCCTGGGCGGGGGCCCTTCCGAGGCACCGCGGGAACCCGCCGGGTGGCCAGCCAGGAAACGCAGCCTGTCTGTGTCCTCGGAGGAGGAGGAGCTGGACGAAGGCTGGAAAGCGCCGGCTTGTTTCTGCCCAGATCCGCACGGCCCCAAGGAGCCAAGCCCTAAGCACCATCCCCCCATCCCTTTCCCTTGCCTGGGTAAGGATCGCACGTCGGGAGTCTGTGCGTGAGCCTATGCGGTGTGTGCGTACAGGAGACTCGGGAGCTCTGGCCACAGCCGGGCTACTCGGGGTCCAGGTCAAGGGGAGGGGGACTACGGACCAATGTTGCCTCTCTTAAGGTCCGGCGCTAGGGAGAAGTAGAGAAATATTGGGGGCGTTTAGGGAAAACTGTGTTGGAAGGAGGGTGAACTGGAGTGGGCCAAGAACTCTGCGGGACCGTACACTCGGTGCTGGCCAGAATTCTTTCGCACACGGGGTACTTTCTTTCCTGACTTGAGTTCTGCAGATCCGGTGTAGGTGTTGTCTGCTCTTCAGTCTCTTTAGGTCTTTTTTCTCCTCTCGGTCTTTTCTTGAAGTGATTAGTACTCTAAAATGATTGGCAGTGGTGCGTTTTAGAGAGGGTTCCTCTTGACAACAGCTGACAGAGGAGAGCCCGGGAGTTAGTCTTTAACCTGACTTCCAAAGAAACGGCCTGGAAAATGATGTCACCATATAAAGCCCAGTTCTTGCAAGATAAAAATCATCTTTTAAAAATGGCGTTAATGACCCCACTTCGGACCTGTTACCACCTATACTTATTTTATAAGACTGGGAGCGGAGACCCTCAGACTCGTGTTATATGGGACCTTCTTCTGTTGCTTTAAAAGGCCGAGGCTCTAGACCTTGGGTGCTAACAAGATGCAGCAGAAAATGAAAGAGTTGGTAATAAGGGGGCTAAGGATGCAGGCTTCGGCCAACCTCCTGGTCCTGGAAAGAGCTGAGAGCATCAACTCCAAGGTCATTCTCTTTGTGCTTACTCTCCAGGTACCTCCAAAGGCAGCGGAAGCGCAGGGCCTGCGGGCTCGGAGCGCACGCCTTTCCTTTCTCCTTCTCACTCGGACTTTAAAGAAGAGAAAGAGAGGCTCTTGCCGGCGGGCTCGCCCTCTCCGGGCCCGGAACGGCCTCGGGATGGTGGTGCGGAACGGCAGGCCGGGGCGGCCAAGAAAAAGACGCGCACCGTCTTCTCCCGCAGCCAGGTGTATCAGCTCGAGTCCACCTTCGACATGAAACGCTACCTGAGCAGCTCGGAGCGCGCCTGCCTGGCCTCCAGCCTGCAGCTCACCGAGACCCAGGTTAAGACTTGGTTCCAGAACCGCCGCAACAAGTGGAAGCGGCAACTCTCGGCCGAACTGGAGGCGGCCAACATGGCACACGCGTCGGCGCAGACTCTCGTGGGCATGCCGCTGGTGTTTCGGGACAGTTCACTGCTGCGAGTGCCGGTGCCGCGCTCGCTCGCCTTCCCGGCGCCGCTCTACTACCCCAGCAGCAACCTCTCGGCCTTACCTCTCTACAACCTGTACAACAAGCTTGACTACTGAGCCGCTCGCTGGCTGCAGCGTCCCTGGCTGCCTGCAGCCGCCTGTACACCCTGGCGCGGGCGGCGTCCTTCCCAGGGCTCCGGAGCAGAGCGTCGCGTGTTCAGAAGTATTAAGAAATACACCATGTGTATTCGTTATGTCTTATTTATGGCCTCTTCCCTACTTTGTTTGTTTGTTTGTTTGTTTCGGGTATTTATCTGCATTCCACACGCCAGAACACCTGCTTTCTACACAAAACCAAACCAAAACGCGTTTGAAAACTCTTTTCAAAGGGGAGAGTCTCGGGTGGTGGCGGGAAAGGGAGTTTTGGCTGGTAGCAAGAAAAAAAAATCAGAAGAACACCAACAAAACCGGATAATCTTTTCCTCATTTATACACCTGTATATACATATGTGTGTGCGTGTGTATGTGTGTGTATAAGGACACAGGCTCAGTCAAGCCGAGCCCACTGGGGCCTTCGTCACTGAACTAATCACCTCTCTTCATTCCGTTCATCTTGAGGGGTGAATCTGAAAAAAAAAAAAAATACCTTCATCTTGAGGAGGGTACAGATCTGTAAATATTTTTAAAGAGAAAAAAAATAAAACGTTTTAAACATGGTTGCTAACTTTGGAAGGATTAATTGTCCCGTGAAATAATGCATGGGGTGGTTTCTAGATTTTTAGTGCCTGAGCATGCAAGATTCTCTACACCTACCCCCCTACTCCCCTCCTCCTACCACCAATGTCCTGAGCTCTCTACGTGAGGGTGGGGTTGTGCTCAGAGGTTAAAGGTCGGATATTGGGGCTGCCTAGGCAGCACGTGACTAGAGCTGCTTACTCGAACAGCACAGTTCCCACGATCCCGGTGTGTCCATTGGGGTACACTCCGGCATGGAATCGAGATCCCGAGCCCGCGGAAAAAGACAAAGGCGGAGAGGCAGGTCTGGATGCTGACGGGGTTGCCTCTGGGAATAAGTCAGGCAAGAAGGTGAACCTCTCCCTGGTGCTGGGATCGATTTGAGCTAGACTGAAGCTGGGCACTTCAGGAATGGCCGAAGCCCCGAGTGCCGCGTTGGCGTCCTCCTTCGCAGAGTAAGACGTAGTATATATGAGAAAGCGTCTGCTTGGGGTCCAAAGCCCCACGCGACCCGCTTGCAGCCACGCGCAATTCTCCGAGGAGCGAGAGGTGATGTCTAAAGGCCACATTTCGATGGAGGGATTCACGAAGCAGGCGCTTCCCGACACTTTTTTTGTTGTTAAATTTGCCCTTTGAGTGGCTAAATGATCACTGGCCAGCAAGCTGCGGCTGTTTCTGACTTGAACCCTGAGGTGCAGCGGAGGCACCCACGGACCGGACTGCGGTTCTCAGCTCCATACAGGAGCTGGGGAGGCGCTACTCTCAGAGAACAGCAGCACCAGAATCATGCAAATCGCAGCCGGTTATTTCTCTCCGTTTTGAGAGCAGCCACCTGTTCCTTGTTAAACGTCAGAAGTGTATGAAGAAGGCTCAGGTGGAGTTTCTAGGTCCTCCTACCTCCCTTCAGTGGTTGACCGGGTGCAAGGAGTTAGGAGTCCGCAGCAGCAGGGCCCCATTCTTTCTTGAGAAGAAAACATTTGCCTGAGTGGATCTGTCTCTGTGCCCAGAGGCATCGAAATGACTTGCATTTCTAGATCTACACAGAATACAAATGCTTACACGACCCATACTATTCCGCGTAAAACGCCCGGTCGAAGACATTTGCTCTGATATTGCCCATTTTCTTCTTATCGTGTTCTATTCCAGAAACCCCCGCAACTACTCCAAGATGACGTCAGATGGATGCCACTCACGAATGCACCTGCCAATACTAGGTTGGTCCACTTGTATTTATTTCAAGTATTATTGCAAGTATTTGTTGAGGCCCCAACACAAGCTGAGAATCTACACTAAATCTGGTGGTCAGAGAGAGAGAGAGAGAGAGAGAGAGAGAACATCGGTTCTCTTCTGATTTATTGGATGTGTGTATCTTACCCCACTAAAGTTGTCACCAAGCTAGGTAATCTCTTTGCATTCTTCCCCTGACAGCATTCTTTGGACATTCCACACAGAAACAACCAAATTGCTCCAGAGGAACATCTTGTAAAGGAGTATTCCATGCAGATAATTTTGGTCTGCAAATTTCAGTAGATGGCAATTGGCTGATGGACTTAACAGTGTGGGTCACCATGTTCTCCTCAGGCTGGCGTTCTCTATAGATAGTGACTTCCTCCGGTCACTGGCCGCACATAGTGATTCCAGTTTGTCCTTAATATTTTAGGCAATGACCATCTCCCCAGTTGTCATACAGGACATATGTGACTCTCTTCACTCACTCAGACATTAGCTGTGACAGGTGACCCAACTTTGCAATTAGTTCCTAGGCGTTCTTCCAACAGGTGACTGGATATTATTGCGCACGCTTTACCTTTGTTTTGTGGATGTTCAAGACTCTGCTGTTGCCAGATTTCCCATCTCAAGTCTATCAATTCATTTGAATAATCAGCAAAATAGTCCCATCTCCTTTTGGGCTCTAAACTTGATTTAAAAGATTGACGTTTCTTAAAACTCAAATAGAGTTGGGCTGCAACTGCATGGCCAGAGGGACCTGAATCATACACACACTGGATAATGAAATACACTTAGATTTTATTAGCAGGTAATTTATGCTCAGAATCTGGAAACACTAATAGAATTAAATAAACAACTGGGAAAGAGAAGCAAATAAGTCAAGAGGGGAAATTATTTTGCTAACGTTAGAATGCATAACAACTCACTGTATTTAAAAAAAATTGAACTTGGCCATTGATTTGTTGAAAGAGGAGAGAAAGAGAGAGAGAGAGAACGAGGGAGAGAGAGAGAGAGAGAGAGAGAGAGAGAGAGAGAGAGAGGAGAACCAAATACTAGAACTATCTGAAGAGGGAAGAGGTCCAGAATATTTTAGCTGTAATAATAATCATCATCAGGGCAATAGGAGAAAGGTTGTGTGTGTGTGTGTGTGTGTGAGTGTGTGTGTAGCTTAATCCTAGTGACAACTTTCTACTTCATGCAAAATTACAAAGTAAAAAAGACTGTCTCACAGAAGAGAGGGCAGTGGAAAAGAAGTCGCAGCAAGGGTTAAATAGAAATGCAGAGTCATATTTTGCATGTGAGTATGCAGCCACTACATTCTGCCTGTCAAGTACCGCTTTTCTTTTCACAGAACCCAAACCATTGCGACTCCTTTGATTCTCATATCTCTGGAGGATTTTAGAAACAGCAAATGCAGCCACCCGAGCCTGCAATTCCCATGGCATGGCGGGGTAGAAGGGGAGAGGACAGCCACAGTTAAGGACCTATGATGAACATCCCGAAAAGATTCTGCTTGAGCCTGAAAACATCGGAAGGCTCCATGTCCTGCTCTGTTTACCTTTTGGGATGCGAGACTCTTTAAAAACAAGAAGTAGTTTGATAGAATTTGTATCCCCAGAGCCTCTTGCCAGGCCCAGCATTCAGGTGCTTGAAAATTGTTGAGAGATTTAAAAACAATAGAAATAAGGGCTAGTTCCTATGAGATCACTAGACAGCAAGGGAAATGGGACTCTAATCACAGAGGGAAACCCCAGAAAAATGAAGGCAAATAGTGCATTTGACCAGAACCTATTTTCTCCAGTATGTCCAGATTGGGTTAATTCCAGGGGTATGTGCATGCCCAGATAGAAAATGTTAATTTACTTATATAGTAGTATCAAACAAAACGGGATTCTGTGTCTGAGAGGCAGAGAAGGCTGTCACACAGCCAGAGCAAGGTAAAACATCTTTCCTGCCTCCTAGTCTGTGTCTGGTCCAGCAGGCAGCACCAGGAAGACTACACCTCCCAGCATGCCACGTACAAATGTGGGCGGGCGTGAGTGCCTCCCTGACCTGAGCATACTTGGGAGTTGTAGTTTCTATGCTCAGCTCCGGCGACGTAACCTCTGCGTGGTGGTACTGAGACACCGTGAACGGAAAAAACCGCGGTTTCCCTTTGAGCCGGAACAAGATGACTACGGTAAAGACTCGAGCAGCAGACCGAACCAATTAGCGGCCGAGATCGAGCCGTTGGCGTTTGAAATCAGCCAATGGTAGGCTTGCTCCGGAGCTTCCTCTCCGCCTCCTCCGCTAGCCTGGGAGTGCTCGGAGGGAAGCAGTGTGGTAGTGGCCGGTGTGGAAACGTTGCTTTGGCGAATACGAGGTAAAGGTCCGAACAAGGGCGGGTGGAGCGGGGTTTGCTGCCTGTAGCCGGTGGGTGGGTGCACAGAGGGATCCTGTTGGTCTTCATTGTGTATTATTTGGGGGATCCGCGGGCAGGGAAGGAGGCCCGGCCGGGTAGAGCTCGGTGAGAGCCGGATGGCGCCTGGTCTAGAGTACGGCCGATCCCGGCTCTGCGCAGGCGCAAACCCGGACGGGCCTCTCTTTTCTCCAGTAAGGGACTCAGACTTAACGTTTGTTCTGCAGATGACGGGTTCGAACGAGTTCAATCTGAACCAGCCACCCGAGGATGGCATCTCCTCGGTCAAGTTCAGCCCCAACACCTCCCAATTCCTCCTGGTCTCCTCCTGGGATACGTCTGTGCGTCTCTACGATGTGCCCGCCAACTCCATGCGACTCAAGTACCAGCACACCGGTGCTGTCCTGGACTGCGCCTTCTACGTAGGTGGACTCGGTTTCTGCTCCTGTCCCCCTACCGAGTTAGTATAGCATCCCATACACGATTTGGAGTGTTGGGGCAGTTCCTAATCTTCTGGAATGCTTCTCTTTAGCCTGGTTTGAGCCTACTGCCATGGTTCGTTTGTTTGTGTTTCGCCTTTCTACGCAGTTTCAATCTCCCTTTTCAAGTTCAGACTTGGATGAACTTTCTAAACATAAGATAATTGTATTTGAAATTCTCAGCAATACTAATTTAGCAACTTATTAGAAGGAATGATGGAAAGGCGTGAATATCGTCTAGTTAGCTGCTGGTGCCCCTCGTGATAAAGCTGCACTTTTGTTCATTTTGGAGACCACTTGCATTTTTGTTTACTTCTTAGTGTCCGACACTGGACATAACCCCAACAGTTGACTGTAGAAATAGCAATTTTGAAATGCTTGCTAAAGCTTTGTAACTTTGAAATGGCTCAAACTTTACGGGGCTGGACGTGGTGGCCAAGCCTTTAAACCCAGAGGCAGAGGCAGGCAGATCTCTTGAGTTTTGAAGCCAGCGGTGTCCTTTGTAGTGAGTTCCAGGACCACGGGGGGCTACTAGTGACACCCTGCCATCTCAAAACAAACCAACCAACCAAAACCAAACTTTACTTTGTAGGATCCCACGCACGCCTGGAGTGGAGGGTTAGATCATCAACTGAAAATGCATGATTTGAACACTGATCAAGGTAACACGGCCACACTTGACCAGTTTCCCTTTGCTGGTGTATTGGTGCGGAAAGGCTGGCTTAGGATGAGTCGCTGGTTCCAGTGCTTGGGTGCAGGTGAAAAGTGGCTTTGGTAATCGGCGTTTTAAATGGGAATTCAGTTAGCACGAACGCAGTGTGCATTTCGCGGCCAAACCCATTTGGAACACTGTCTCAAGTGTTCGCCCACAGTGTCGCTTACGCATTTCACCATCACCTCTACAAGTCTTTGAAAGTGGACTGGATCCATGTCAGGATTTCCCAGGACTGTTTGCTATCTTAGGGTGCTCTCCTTGCAAACTAAGGAAAAGTGTGTTTTTAAAGGCGCAGCCCAGTAGCCAGTCATGTTTACCTTAGGGAAACTTGTATTCTTAGCAGAAGAATGTGTTTCAGTTGTATGTGTGAAAACATTTCTTATGAGTTTTCATGATTTCACTGAGGCAGAAATTGGAATGGGGACCAGATAAAGAGAGTTCTCTGAGCTTTGCTTGCTCTACTGGATGCAGCTATCTATACTTGAGGGAGAGATGGCAGGGTGTCCTGATGTAACTACCTGGAGGCTATGTCGAACAAAGGGACGATGGACAGAGAAGCATCTCTGTGCTGGGTGTGGTGTTGTTCCTGTAATCCCAGCACGGGGAAGGGGGAGGCAGGAGAATCAGAAATTGAAGGCCAGCCTCAGCTACACAGCCGGTATGAGGCCAGCCTAGGCTACATGAGACTGTTTCAAGGAGAAAAAGAGCAGTATTTCATTGGAAGAGGCTTCTGTATGAAAGTGATTTTTTTGGGGGGTGTGTACATGCTAGGCAAGTGCTCTCTCTGAGCTTCATCCCCAGGCCTGTTGGTCATCCTTGTGTCTGTATGTCACATGGGTTTTGGCACGTTGTAGATATTTAATAAATGTTAACCGAGTGAGCAGATGAGATACTGTGAAGGTTGAGGGTGACAGAAAAGAAACTATGTAGTGGAAATTTGACCTGACCGTGAGAACAAAGTGAATTAGCTGAAAGGCTCCCTCAGCTCTCAAATTCTGTAACCATTTCTTCCAGGCGTTGGCTCAATGTGAGGAAAGTGTTGTCAGGGTACAGGAAACCGGAGCGCGCCACTCATTGCTGCATTCAGCAAGTATTTCTTGAGCACCTACAATGTACCAAATCTGGTACTAGGTACAAACGAAGGCCTAGAGTTAACTCGGTTTTCTTATAAAACCTAGGACCACGTTGATAAGCACGCACCATCTTAAAGCAGTTGGAGATTGAAGGCAGCTGTGCTCCCTTCTGCTATGGCACTGACCTAGGCAATGTGGAGTAAATTAGAGGAGACCTCACGTGCAGATGTTCCTGTGGAGTTGATGGAGACAAATTCATTTCAGTTGAATGTCCCGTTAATTGACTTAAGGTATCCCAGTTAGTTGAGCCGGCAAAGCTATATGTGCTGTTTTTATTTTATTTTTCTTTGCAATAGAAAATCTTGTCGGAACACATGATGCCCCTATCAGATGTGTGGAATACTGTCCGGAAGTGAACGTCATGGTTACTGGAAGTTGGGATCAGACAGTTAAACTGTGGGATCCCAGAACTCCTTGTAATGCTGGCACCTTCTCTCAGCCAGAAAAGGTAGGGTTTTTATGTTTATCAGGGCTGCTGGGCTCATCAGGGTGATTTGTTTTGGTGCATGTTTGATGGATATGCTGTTGCAAAGGTTAAGAACTGGCAGGCTCTTAGAAACCTAACTATACAGAAATGCTTTAAAGAGAAGGGAATTCACTTTTAAATTTTTGGCCGTCCTTTTTCTGTCAGATGTTAAACTTGGCCTGGAGAGCACAACTTAAATTCTCACTCCATGTATTGTGAGGTCTGGGAGTCACTCCCTGTCTTTTCGGAGAAGCTGTTTCCAGAGACCGATTGTCCTGACCTCGGCTTGACAGCCCACAGCAGTTGGGATGTTGAGGATGAAAGGGTTATCATTTCAGCTTGAGTGAGAGCTGTGTTCTCTGATTTTTATTGCTATGTGTGTATTTAAACGCTGGCAGATGTCATTTGAAGGCTTGTAGTAAGTGGAGCTTTTAAACGCTTGGAATCTAAATTGTTTATTTCCCATAGACAGTACCATAGTTAGGTCTTGGTTTTGTTGTTGTTGTTGTTTTGTTATTTCAGTCCAGATTGACAATCTCTACCTTTAGATAATAAAACCACTTGTATCTATGATTTTTTTTTTTTTTTTTTGAGAATTTTGTACTTGAGTACACTATATTTACATCTTTTCCGCCCCTTCATCCCCCCTCCCTCCACTCACTCTCAGGTCATGGCCTCTTCTGTAATTTTACTGTTTTATACACACGCACACATGTGAACACAAACACACACAAGCTCCTGAGTCCATTAGTGGTGGTTGTTTATCCGTGTGTTTCTGGCTGACCTCTTAGGATTGGATAACCTATCAGGGGTCCTGTTCCTGGAGAGAACTGATTCTCCCTCCTGTGAGTGGAGCTTTTGGAAACCAACTTTGTGTCTTCTGACTTGTTGATCTGTTTGATAAACATACTTCAGCTGTGTCCTCATCAGACTTGTCAGGTGGCGGTTAATTTAAAGGATGGGTTGTTGTACCAGTTTGAAGGTGTTCTTCACTGGCGTTCTTCCCTCGGGTAAATCTGCTGTTCGCCCTGTTAGCCGTCATCATGTACCGCAGTGCAACCAAAGAGCCATTATTTTTGTCACGTCACAGTCGAATCCACTCCTGGCAAGACCTTTGTTCAGAATAAAATAATTGCATTGTTTCTAGTTTTGATGTATGGTTGTATGTAACATGTTAAGAAACGTGATGAATGGCCGACAGAATAGCATATAATGGACAGCCACACTGAATCAAGCTGCTTATTGGTTCAGGAGGTTCATTATGTCGCTTTTTTTAATACTCTCTTTGATAAATGTATACACCTAGTCAGTAGCATGACAGTGGTTTTCCCTGATTTATGATCAGCGGGGACAGAAAGCAGTTTCAGAAGCTTGCGTGTCACCTGTATAGTAAAGATTTAAGGTAATTCTTGATACAATTGTACCACTATAAATTTGATTGCTTTCTGGTTATTTTTTAAGTTTAGCACTTCATATATTGTAGATTAATTTTCTTTTTGAAAAATACTGGCTTTCTGAATAAACATATATTACAATGTTCTCATAAGTATGCAATAATTACTTAATATTTCAATTTTTTAGATTCTTATTTTTCTTTGAGTTGCATTAGTTTTAGGTTTTAAAGTCAGATTGTAGTGGCCACTGTTTGGGCATTGTATTGTGACTTGTAGTTAGTATACTGGTGATTATCAACGAGATGGCTTGGTTATTGAGGGTTAAAAGGAAGTCTTACAGTATCATGGTTCTTTTACATTTTTTAATAGCAATTCAGCAGGGGTTGACAGTCAACAATAACCTCTGTTAAAGACCTCAGGTCTAGATTTTTAAGGATATGACTTAGGAAGACTCCTTGCTGCTGCTCTTTTGTGAATTTGCTCCTTCTGGTATCTACCTAAAATTTTGTTTGTATGTAAGCTTCTAAATGTTCTGCTTACAGGAAATTTACGATTTCTTACAAAAATATTTTTGTGGAGGCTTAAATATTGAAGGAAAGACATTATGATGGGGAAAAAGATATTTTCCGGGGATAAAATGCCTTAGGTTTTTTTTTGTTGTTGTTGTTCCTGTAAGCTGAGCTTCCTTCTTTGAACGTTGAACATGATGACATCAGAGCCTAAGGGTCAGCTCTGCTCGTGCTGGGCAGCTGTCCTTATCTTTCTCTTTGAGTTTGTGCCTGCAGAGCCACAAGTCGGCCTGCTAGTGACGCCTTCACTGTTCCTCGGGGAACAGCGAGAGTTTGAGTTGCCAGATGAAGTCTTTGAAAAGCTGGTCTGGTCATAGAAAAAAATGAAAATGATTCTTTTACAAAAAGCCAAAAGGCATTTTGATTCTGTTGTCTTGTTTTGAGTGGGTTTAATACTTTTATCTTAAATGAGTCAAGAAATTTTGGGGGAAATGTAATAACAACGAGTGTTTTGTCTTTAAAAATGTCTATACCCTTAGCTGGAGTGTACTTCATACTTGGTGTTTGTGTGTGTGCCAAGTTTGACTAAGTCACCTCACTCCTGACCAAAGTGGACGCCTGCTCTGGGAACGTGGTCTTTTTTATGGTTTTAGGATTAGATGGACTTTGGGAGCAAAATGTTATTTTTCAGGAAGTAGATGATGATTATTGAGTTTTGATGTTTCCTAAAAGGTGTACACCTTGTCAGTGTCCGGGGACAGGCTGATTGTGGGTACAGCAGGCCGCCGAGTGCTGGTGTGGGACTTGAGGAATATGGGCTATGTGCAGCAGCGCAGGGAGTCCAGCCTGAAGTACCAGACGCGCTGCATCCGCGCCTTCCCAAACAAGCAGGTACTGGTCCCCTCAACTCCCTTCCCTGAATTTCCAAGTCGTGGTGGTTTACAATTTGCCTTAGGTCTGCTCCTTTTAATTCTTTAATGGCAACTGAAGGTTAGAGGAGAATAATAACCCCACATTTTAGGGAAGTGTTGATGGCCAAGTGCTTTGAAGAGATGCCTTTCTTATTGATGGTGTTGGTGGGATGCTCAATAAGTATGTGGTATCAAAGAGTTTAACATATCCCAATTTATACGCCAATCAAAGCTTAAGTTTGGAAATTTAAGTTTATAGAATTTGCTTTTTTTTTTTTTAATGTAGCTCAGGTTGGTGTCATTTTTACACTCCTTTAGCCTCAGCTTCTCCAAGGCTGGGATTGTAGATATGGATGCCTGCCTGCCTTTGTGGTTTTTTAATCCTGATATTATCAGGGTTGTTTCTCTCTCACTTAACAAGAGAGCTTTGATATTTTTTCTTTCTTTCTTTTTTTTTTTTTTTTAATAAGAATACCGCTGAGATGAGGTAGAGTGTCTCTCGTGTACTGAGTGGGTCTCCTTCCATCATTACTTAAAAAAAAAATAGTAAGCTACCTTTTATTTGCAGTCCTTAAAGCTATAAGGGGAGGTTAGCGTCACTGGCCTACTCCTATAATCTTAGCAGTCTGAAGCAGGAAGAGTGTGAGTTCAAGGCCATCATGGGCTATAAAGTGAGACACTGTCTCAAGAAATACAAGGGCAGTTGTTGTGAGGTGAGCAGCTGCAGGATTTTTTTTTTTTTTTTAAGAGAAAGCCTCACTTAAAGCAGTAGATGCATTTGGAATTAGGGCTGTCCTTCAGCTACTGTGGAATATGAAGCAGGAAGTCAGTTCTCTTGGCCCTTTGTCTCACCTTGAGTCTCAAGTGGTGGTTACTGTTCTTGAATTAAAGACAGTCAGCTGCAGTTAGTGAAACTTGGAGAGTCTGAAATGTGATTGAAACATACTTGCATTACAGAAATATTTTGTCTTTATGTTTAAATTTTTCTGTAGGATTATCCTTGCTTTTATGATGAACGCTTAAAATAGGATTTTATTTTTTAAAAAAATGGAGATGGCTCAGTGCGCAAAGGTGCTTGCTGCCAAGACTGATGCCCGAGTTGTACCCCTGGGACCATGTGGTGGAAGGAGAGAACTGACAGTTGCAGGTTGCCCTCTGACCTCCATTCATAAGTGCCTCTACACACACATGCACACACATAAATAATAAAAATTGGATTACGTTGAATTCATTTTCTGTGAGCAGTTTTTGGGAATAACTTTTTGAAATATCTGGACTAAAATATAAAGATGTAAAAAGTATGTTTCATAATCATGGCATTATCTTTTTAAAAATATGTTGTTATTCCAAGGGACGATGAAAGACTGTTTGAAACTGGGACGCCCTCGTGACTGTTGCTCACAGTCTGGTTTATGCAAACCTGACTCACTAGTAAATGCAGAGGTGGGCCAGCCCAGCTGGGACAGGATCACTGGTGCATCCTCCCAGTGAGGGGGCACAGTGCTTAGAGTTAAAGGTGAAGAGGGGGTTTTACCTGTGGCAACAGGTTGTAGTCCCCGTCAGGGCAGGAGACAAAGGATACTAAAACTTAAAACTTTTTTAGATTTGACAGAACAAGTCATTTTTGGTTGCAGTGTGCTAGGTACTGATAGTGTGGAGAGAGGAAGCCAGCAAGGGTGGCGCCATGTCTTACAAAGCAGGTGTCTATAGAGATGGCATGGCCGTCAGTCCTTTATTAAACCCGGCTGAACTTTCATTTCTGAAATAGTTCTTTATGGATTGAATTGGGGACCTCGTGTGCTCTGTGGAAGGCAGGTTTTTGCCATTTTGGGCCTCCGCTCTCTCGGCAGGGTTATGTGTTGAGCTCCATTGAAGGCCGAGTGGCGGTAGAATACCTGGACCCAAGCCCCGAGGTTCAGAAGAAGAAGTATGCCTTCAAGTGTCACAGGCTAAAGGAAAACAACATTGAGCAGATTTATCCAGTCAACGCCATTTCCTTCCACAATATCCACAATACGTTTGCCACAGGTATGACCCGCGGGCTGAGCTGAGCTTTGAGACTCAGGCAGAATCCTAAGAGTTGCTCTCCGCTTCTGTGCACAGAGCCATATTAACAAGTCACATTACTTGCAGGTGGTTCTGATGGATTTGTAAATATTTGGGATCCGTTTAACAAAAAGCGACTATGCCAGTTCCACCGATACCCCACTAGCATTGCGTCTCTTGCCTTCAGTAATGACGGAACTACGCTTGCAATAGCTTCGTCCTACATGTATGAAATGGATGACATGGAGCATCCTGAAGATGGTATCTTCATTCGCCAAGTGACAGATGCAGAAACAAAGCCCAAGTGAGTATGCTTCACCTGGACTGATGCCTTTTCTTGCATTCAGCCCAGGACTTATTAATTTTTCCAAATTCATGAATAGCGTTGTTGATGCCTGCTCGATATTACAGCTGACTGTAGGGTTGGAATTGATTTTATCTTGTTCTCCCAAGCTTTCAATATCCGTAGGTTGATAGACGTCTGATGGATAAAATTGTGCCTAGTTGTTTTGTAGAGAAGAATGTCAAACTCTCATTCTTCTTGAATAGGCTCTATTATTTGAATCTCTGGAGTTTCTACGAGCTCATTGCTTTAAAATTAAGTTGAGGAATTCAAGAATAATTTATTTTAGTAAATTCTATTTAAGATATTTAAGAATTTGAACTGCCCAAAAAAAAAAAAAAAAGATCCCTCTCCAGAGATTGTTTCTGTAATATTTACAGAAGTGAATGACCTTTGGGTTTTATTGGAGACAGAGTAATATGGCCTTGCCTAGCACAGCAGATCTCTTTACTTCTGAAATTTTCATAGATGTTGCTAGGTCTTAACTGTTGACTGGAGGTGCCATCTAGGCTTTTTGGCAGCAGTGGGACAGAGTCTTATTTAGCGACCTCTTCTAGGCTCTGAGAGAGGCGTAGGCACAACGGACAGCATGCAGTGGCTGCCCCATGTATCTTGTCTTCCTCCTTGTCCTTGCTCTCAGGTCCTCGGGGGAAATCCTCAGGGAGGGTTTGTATTAAGTACACGTGTGTTGGACTTCTGTAATTTTCTGAGGTGCCCTTGCTAAATTTGTTGGGCCTCTCTCTGTAGGAGCAGAGCATCTAACGAGGAGTAGTGTCTGCGCTTTCACAGGCTGGACTGTAGAGATGTGTTAGGATGTGGAGCCTGTTGGATAAAGGGCTGTGTTTGTATTTAATCTGTCACTTTTTCTGTTTCTTGTCCTAGCCGGCCATTTTGATCTCATGCTGTTCTTTTTCCTTTTGTACTTGTAGGTCACCATGTTCTTGACAAGATTTCATTTGCTTAAGTGCCATGTTGATGCTAATAAAACAGTTGGTCCTCCCCAGTGGTAGATTTATAAATATTAACACAGAAACCAAGGAAATACTAATTTTAATTTTTTTTAAGAACCTGAAAATAAAGGAAAATGGGGTTTTCTTGTTTTTTTCTCTTTTGATGGTTTGCTACTTTAGAGATATTTGGGCAGACAGGATTGGAGGGCAGTGGCCGCACTTTTGAGAGAGAAGCAGTTTTGACCTTGATTTTTGTTTCTGCTGTGGAAATAAATGTTTGTAAATAGAAGTAATAAAAATCCCTTTGTGTTCTTTCTGGACCTTAAATGGTAGAGGAAGAGGCTCTTGAGCCATTGATTTCTTTGCTGGTGATAGTTGGTAATTCGAAAGCTGCTTCAGACTGCCTCCTGAGGAGGTTAATCTACAATTAAACAATATTTCCTCTTGGCCGTCCATTATTTTCTGAAGCAGATGGTTCATCATTTCCTGGGCTGTTAAACAAAGCGAGGTTAAGGTTAGACTCTTGGGACTCAGCTAGTTTTCAATCTTATTAGGGTGCAGGAGGAAAACTAATAAGAAACCCTCCTAACATCATTTTGTGACTGTAAACAATTATTTATTAGCAAACAATTGATCCCAGAAGGGCAAATTGTTTGAGTCAGTAATGAGCTGAGAGAAGACAGAGCATATCTGTGCATTTGGGAAAGTCACTGTAACGTAATTGCAGTACATTTAGACAGGCATCTATCTGGACCTGTTTCTATCTCTAAATGAATTTTTGGAAACATTAATGAGGTTTACATATTTCTCTGACATTTATATAGTTCTCATGTCCATTTCAGTTGCCCAGCCGCTGGTGATTAAAGGTTAAAAAGAAAAAATTATAGTGCGAATGAGATTCATTTTGATGTAATGTCTTGTAGCAGAACACGAACTTAGCTTGGCCTGTCTTAAGTAGTTCAGTGTTTCTGCTGGCAGACTTGTCGTTCTGATGTGTGTTATTTGTGAACGCTCGTCTCTGAAGAGGACTTAGGCCTTTACTGAAGCTTATTTTACCCATAGTGTATTTTTTAAAAAATTCTTTTGGTACAGAGAAAAGTCTTATTTTTATTTTGTGAGATTTTCAGAGAGAACTTAGCGTGCAGTCTGAGTGGTCCCGTGAACTGTGTTTTCTTCATTGCAGGTCCACGTGATCATCTGGTGGAAAGCTTCACTTCCTGCCAACACTTGCTTCCCCCAGGGGCTGCCTGGAGTCCCCGGACTTGGTCTAGTTTGTCTAGTTTTGGGTTTCTCTGTCTCCTGTCAACAGAAATGTCTCTGTGTACTCTGTAATTGTTTGGGGTGGGAGGCTCCGGGCCCTTGTACAGTAGTGGGATGCTCCTGTCCCTAAGTAATTCCTATTGCTGTTGTTAATGCTCCAGCTCTTTGTAGCACTATCTAAAACTGTTAATATTTTTCTGCTGTCAAATAAATCAGATATTTGGAACTTTTAAAAGTTGGGTGTTTTTAAAGATTTTGCTAATTATTGTCATTTACTGTATAACAACTTTTCTTAGACAAAGTACTCTTCATCAAGGACATGTTTAAATGTTCTCTGCTTCATTTATTTATGTCTGCTCTTGTACATTGGGGATCCAGCCCTGGGTAAAGAATCAGCCATTTTGTGTTTCTTTGGCCGATCAGTGAGGCCTGTGAACCATCTCTACAGCTTCCCTCAGGATGGGCACCGACTGGCAGTGTCGGTGCTGTAGAGCTCACGTGTCCCTGTGCTGATGGTAACATCCTCTGCAGAGAACCAAATGACAGGCCCTTCTGCACTTAGCCGCCACTCTCCATCCAAGTGACGTAGCAGCCAATGCTGTAGTAGCATTGGTCCTGTGGTGGGATTATGTGCTTTGTAAAGTCATAACCACTTGATTGAGAGTAGAGCATAAATTCCAAACACTGTAATAAAGATAACCAAATTAAAGCCATGCTATGGACTTGTGTTTTATGTGGTTTGAGAAACCTTCTGATGGTTTCGTTTAGACGCTCTTCTGTCCCTTAAAACAAAATCTCCCTGCCTCCCCTCTACCACTTGGCCAGCTCGCCCTCTCGATTCGCCTGTTTAGTTTACAGCTACCTTTACCTCCAGTTTCCCAGGTGTAGTTTACCTTGGCTTTTTCTTTTCGAGATCTTATTTTTATTTTATGTGTTTGTGTGTTTTATCAGCATGAATATCTGCACCAGCAGTGTGCGGTGCACTCAGCAGCCAAAAGAGGGCATCAAATCCCTTGGAACTGGAGCTCAAGATGGTTGTGATCCTTTCTGTAGGTGCTGGGAATTGAACTCTAGATCCTTTGGAAGAGCAGCCAGTGCTCTTAACCTCTGAGCCATCTCTACAGTCCAACATTGGTATTTTCAATGGGTTTTCTTACTGATACTTAAATGTTTCTTCACTGTCTTTCTGCTGACTGCTACTGTTCTCAGGGTCTTTTCCTTAACCCTGTGTCTCCTGGAGTGATGGTTTTCTTGTGTTTTAGTAGAATACAAGACAGCAAAATGGTATGACAGACCATGTGGGTATCTGGTGGGTGGGTGCCTATGTGTGATCTAAATGCAGCGCTGGCTGTGATATCCGTACATCATTTTACAGGGAATTTCATTGTCGCTTACAATTCTCAGAAACTGCTTGATGACTTGCAAAATTAAAAAACCAAAACCTCTTGTGTGAAGCCCCTTGATACAGCTCAAAACTAAGCATCCTTTTTCAAAATATGTAGAAAGTGCTTGTCTCCACCTTGCCTTGAGCTTTTGAGGACTTTAGAGCCCACATTTACCTTTTTTTCCCCCTCGAGACAGGGTTTCTTTGTAGCTTTGAAGCCTATGCTGGAGCTTGCTCTGTAGACCAGGCTGGCTTTGAACTCGCAGAGATCCACCTTTCTTTCTCTGCCTCTCGAGTGCTGGGATTAAAGGCACACACCACACATTTGCTTTTCTGTGTGTGTGTTCCACAGCACCCAGGAGCAGCCAAGGGACGGCTTGTGGGAGTCAGTTCTTCCACTGTATGGGTTCTGGGGATTGAACTCGGGTTGTCAGGGTTGGCCTGGTGGCCTTTACTCATTAAGTGAACCACCACCTCACCTTGCTTTTAATACTGCTGAAGGACGTTGCTAGCTCCCCTTCAGTGAACTTCAAAAGCAGGTATGGAATGTTGGCACAAAGGTGCTTTGTTCGTTCAGTCAGTGTTGGAGAGCTGATCTTCAAGCCCTGACAGCATGGCCTTCACTGCTCCAGCATCTGGTCTTTTTCCTGGGACAGATAGGGTGAATCTTGCTGTTGAGCTTTCAGCTCTGGCTCTGGCGCCTAACTCCCTGAGTTACTAGCCAAAGCCTTTTCTCCGTTTTCATCGCTCCAAATGTATTGTGAAGGAAACACTGAGCTTATAGCTTAGGAACAAGTATGTACACTATCAGATAGAGTGTGCCAGCCACAGTCCGAATGCAAATCGCCTCTGTCTGCGGAAACGTTCACCCCAGGCTGGCAGTAGCTCAGTGGGAGGGCACCTAGTACTGTTTGTGAGGCCTTGGGTTTGCTCTCCAGCACTGAAAAAAAAAATCATAATTAGATGGTCAACTGATTTAATTCCTTTATATAAGTCTGTTGGCATAGGCTGCTTGTTCGTTCCTGGCTGCCCTGACTCGAAATAACCACTCCAAAACTATATTATTTAAATCACTGCTGGGCCAATCACATAAGCGTATTGCTATCTAGCTCTTATATCTTAAATTAACCCATTTCTATTTTTATTTTACCACGAGGCTTGAGGCCTACCCGCAAGGTTCAGGCAGGTAGTTGAGCTCCATGGCTTCTCTACGGCTCCGCCTGTTCTCTCCCTATATTATCTCTGCCAGCCTGGCTAAATTCTGTTAAGCCATTGGCCCAAAACAGCTTCTTTATTAACCAATGGCAATAAAAACATATTCACAGCATACATCACCTCCCACATCATAAGTCAAGGGTGGTTCTCAAGTTATTATTGGATCCCTAGTTATTAAGGATACCTGTGCATTTTAGAAGCATGAACAAAAGTAGCAACAGAAGCCCCAGATCGCATCTGTAGAACATCATCTGCCTTTGGTAGTGTTCAGGATTTTTGATTTTGCAGCAACTGCATATGTGAACCTCACTATCTTTTAGTGCCGCACCCTCTTACACTTGTGTTCACAGGTCCACACACAGTACATGTACTTACCTTTTCAGTTTGCATGTATGCTAGAATTTCTTCTAAAATGAACGTGTTCCCCACCCAATGTCAGGTTTTCTTCCTGTGATGTAGGAGAGGCTGACGCTGTGAGCTCCACCCAGTAGCAGCAGCAAGGTTGTGCAGTGGAGTGGCAGAGCCAAGCACACACGCGCGCGCACACACACACACACACACACACACCTGCCTTTCTCAGGAAGTTAGCCCCAGTTGCAGAAGGAATGGCAGTTGTCTGACTTGTTGGCTCTTTCAAGAGTGAAAACTTTATACCATAGTGAAGGGGCTTGTTCACCCAGGAAAACACGTACACGCGTTAATGTGCCCAGGAAACGGGGGGGGGGGGGGGGGACGGTGTCTGTTAGAATGACGTCATCGGGGAAGTAGACACACCTCAGGTTTGAATGTGCCACCTTCGCCTCTGCAATGTCCCCGGGCACCCCATCTTTCACTTGGGGAAGTGCTGACTTAAGCTATTAGGGGTAGTTAGAGGTTTCCTTTCCGAATGGCACCTGGCTACGTTGCTTCGGAACAAGCGCTAAGAGAAATGAAAGCGGCTGCTCCCAGTGGCCACAAATACCAACTGGGGCACTGACTACAAAGGCGCTTTCCCCTTGATCAGTGGCGTGCCGAGACAGGGCTTTCATTTTCCCAGGGTGCCCGCAGAACTTGGCCTGGGGTTGCACAGGGCGCTGGCTTTCTAGTTTTCTGGGCTGGTGTGGGAGAGGAGCAATCTGAAGGTGACAAATTGACTGTAATTTAGAGAGGTCTGTATTTGGGAAACCATGACTTGAGTCTGTTCGTTTAATATAACTCATGATTTGCCAACTGGTCCTCAGAACTTACTTTAAATGAAAAGCAATTGATTGCTTTTTGTTGCTTTGTTTTCCTTGAATACATCCCTGGCTAACCGTTATGACTTCCCAAATTACCTGCCTTGAAAAAGGAAAAGGAAATGCCTTCCTGACCTTTTGTGTACGATTTGTCAGACTTAAGTAACCGAAGGTTCATCCTGTGGTTTATTTCATTAACTAATTTCTCAAGAAATATTTGTGCACGTCTGAGCAGCTCTGTGTGGTTAACACAACGCTGAAGAAGCAGTACAAATCATGCCTACTGATTTACTAGGCCAAGGTAATGAAGTCCCTCCATCCCCTCTATAGGACTCTGTTCCAGGCTATTGCAGTAATTTAAAACCCTTGTACCTTAGACTCTTGACCTTGTTATAACATCACTTTATAATTCTCCAAATACTTGGCTCTTGAAGATTTCCTTAGCACCAGCCATGTATTCTTAAAGAGTCCGATTTGTCTTCAGCATTATATTACAATATCTCCTGTGCTGAGACCCAGCATTCTCAGAGTTGCCCGGCAGAAACCTTCCGTTCTTACCATGGCACGCAGTCGCTGGCGTTTTCCACTTGGAGGGATACACTGGTTTGGAACAGCAGCGACCCACAACTTCACCAAGCCGAGTGTGGATGCAGCCACCTTCCTGGTTACTGAGGTCACTGATAATGGGGAAGAGCTGAGCTTCCCACATGACGCTCACATAAAGGTTATTCTGGAAACAGGACAGGCATACCAGCCATTAGCTTGTCCTTTGCTGCTCTTCACTGGTCGGCCTTTGTCCTCCCCGGTCGCTACAGAAGTCTAGATGAGCATCGCCCTTCCAGAGCTTGTACCTGGTGTCCTGGCCAGCCTAGTCATTGTTTGAGATGATAATATAATTTCACCATTTCTTTCCTTTTTACAACTCCTTGTATGCATTCCAGCCCTGTTTTCTCTCATATTCATGGCCTTTTTTTCCCCATTGTTAGGTATGTGTATTCCTAAATATATGAATACCAGCTGCTCAGTTGTTTCTTGTTTGTGTGTTTTCAGGGCTGACCATTTGGTACTGGATAACCAACTGTGTGCTCTACCCTGGGGAGACCATCCCTCCTGCTCTCAGCGTTGCCCGTAGTTCTTGGTGTAGGGTTGAGGCCCCTTGAGCATTGCCCCTTCCACGTTAGCCTTGTTCAAATCTCTAGGCAGCCATGTTGGTGAGATTTCATAGTGTCTCTGACGTTTCTAGGATACCCAATCTCACAACAAACTCTGTTTCTCTGGCTCTTACAGTCTTTCTGCCCACCCCTCACCCCCAGCACCTCTCTGCAATGATCCCTGAGCCCTAGGAGCAGGATTTCGTGTGGTAGATACTCCTCAACTCTACGTTTTGATCAGTTGTGATTTTCTGTAATGGCCTCCATCTGTTGTTAGAAGCTTGCTTGATGTGGGGTGAGGACTACACTTACCTGCGGGTATAAGGAAAAATGTTTACGATGGAGTCGCTTCCGGATCATGCTGCTTTGGTAAAGTGGCGGTTTTAGGTTCTCCAAGACCTTTCTTTCCCTCTCTGTTCCTCTATCTTTGCTTTTTATCAACAGACAAAAGGAATCTGCACAACTTGGCTGGTGGTTTTCGAAATGGAGGCTCGAGACACAATTGTGCTATTTATTCCAGGTGGTGGTGGGTGTTGATGGTTCACAAAGTCTGGGCTGCATTCGGTCTGCCATGTGTGTGCAATGAAGGAACGGGGCCTTCCAAAGCACAATGACATAGTCCATTTAAAAACTTTCAGTATAGGGCTAGAGAGATGGCTCAGTGGTTAAGAGCACTTGTTTTTGCAGAGTACGTGGGTTCAAATCCTAGGACCCATGTAACAGCTTAAAAAATTGTCCAGTTCTAGGGT